AAAAGAGAGCAAATGAGAGAGTGGGTGAGATGTTATCAACAAATTTTGTTGAAAATAAGAAAAAGTTTTGGAGTGAGATTAACAAGTTAAGAAAGCCTAGAGAACAAATGGATTTGTCAGTTAAAAATAGGAGAGGAGAGTTATTAAATGGAGAGTTAGAGGTATTGGGAAGATGGAAGGAATATTTTGAGGAATTGTTAAATGTTGATGAAGATAGGGAAGCTGTGATTTCGTGTATAGGGCAAGGAGGAATAACATCTTGTAGGAGTGAGGAAGAGCCAGTTGTGAGTGTGGGGGAAGTTCGTGAGGCAGTAGGTAAAATGAAAGGGGGTAAGGCAGCCGGGATTGATGGATAAAGATAGAAATGTTAAAAGCAGGTGGGGATATAGTTTTGGAGTGGTTGGTGCAATTATTTAATAAATGTATGGAAGAGGGTAAGGTACCTAGGGATTGGCAGAGAGCATGCAAGTTCCTTTGTATAAAGGCAAAGGGGATAAAAGAGAGTGCAAAAATTATAGGGGATAAGTCTGTTGAGTGTACCTGGTAAAGTGTATGGTAGAGTTATAATTGAAAGAATTAAGAGTAAGACGGGAGAATAGGATAGCAGATGAACAAGGAGGCTTTAGGAAAGGTAGGGGGTGTGTGGACCAGGTGTTTACAGTGAAACATATAAGTGAACAGTATTTAGATAAGGCTAAAGAGGTCTTTGTGGCATTTATGGATTTGGAAAAGGCGTATGACAGGGTGGATAGGGGGGCAATGTGGCAGATGTTGCAAGTGTATGGTGTAGGAGGTAGGTTACTGAAAGCAGTGAAGAGTTTTTATAGGATAGTGAGGCTCAAGTTAGAGTATGTAGGAAAGAGGGAAATTTTTTCCCAGTAAAAGTAGCCTTAGACAAGGATGTGTGATGTCACCGTGGTTGTTTAATATATTTATAGATGGGGTTGTAAGAGAAGTAAATGCGAGGGTCTTGGCAAGAGGCGTGGAGTTAAAAGATAAAGAATCACACACAAAGTGGGAGTTGTCACAGCTGCTCTTTGCTGATGACACTGTGCTCTTGGGAGATTCTGAAGAGAAGTTGCAGAGATTGGTGGATGAATTTGGTAGGGTGTGCAAAAGAAGAAAATTAAAGGTGAATACAGGAAAGAGTAAGGTTATGAGGATAACAAAAAGATTAGGTGATGAAAGATTGAATATCAGATTGGAGGGAGAGAGTATGGAGGAGGTGAACGTATTCAGATATTTGGGAGTGGACGTGTCAGCGGATGGGTCTATGAAAGATGAGGTGAATCATAGAATTGATGAGGGAAAAAGAGTGAGTGGTGCACTTAGGAGTCTGTGGAGACAAAGAACTTTGTCCTTGGAGGCAAAGAGGGGAATGTATGAGAGTATAGTTTTACCAACGCTCTTATATGGGTGTGAAGCGTGGGTGATGAATGTTGCAGCGAGGAGAAGGCTGGAGGCAAGTGGAGATGTCATGTCTGAGGGCAATGTGTGGTGTGAATATAATGCAGAGAATTCGTAGTTTGGAAGTTAGGAGGAGGTGCGGGATTACCAAAACTGTTGTCCAGAGGGCTGAGGAAGGGTTGTTGAGGTGGTTCGGACATGTAGAGAGAATGGAGCGAAACAGAATGACTTCAAGAGTGTATCAGTCTGTAGTGGAAGGAAGGCGGGGTAGGGGTCGGCCTAGGAAGGGTTGGAGGGAGGGGGTAAAGGAGGTTTTGTGTGCGAGGGGCTTGGACTTCCAGCAGGCATGCGTGAGCGTGTTTGATAGGAGTGAATGGAGACAAATGGTTTTTAATACTTGACGTGCAGTTGGAGTGTGAGCAAAGTAACATTTATGAAGGGATTCAGGGAAACCGGCAGGCCGGACTTGAGTCCTGGAGATGGGAAGTACAGTGCCTGCACTCTGAAGGAGGGGTGTTAATGTTGCAGTTTAAAAACTGTAGTGTAAAGCACCCTTCTGGCAAGACAGTGATGGAGTGAATGATGGTGAAAGTTTTTCTTTTTCGGGCCACCCTGCCTTGGTGGGAATCGGCCGGTGTGATAATAAAATAAAATATATATATATATATATATATATATATTATATATATATATTATTATATATATTATATATATATATATATAATATATATATATATATATGCAATAAGATCACAGTAAACAGGTGATTTCAAAATATGCAAAACAACCACTCTGAAAGAATAGAGAAATTCCAAGCGCTTTCGTGACTACTCACATTATCAAGGAACTATGATAGTTCCTTGATAATGTGAGTAGTCACGAAAGCGCTTGGAATTTCTCTATTCTTTCAGAGTGGTTGTTTTGCATATATATATATATATATATATATATATATATATATATATATATATATATATATATATATAATCTCAGAAAGCTCCAAGGCAACAAGTTCGAGGGGAGAGAAAGTGCCACCGGAACGACTAAGGAAGCCCACTTTACCCACATGAACTATACTGACAATCTGCAAGCCAATGCTGAGCTGGAGGAATGTGCATTGCAATGCCACAGCCAGACTGACACTAGCAACCACTTGGCTGATAGTTTCCCCTCTGCTACAACGACCAGTAACAGTCCTGTCCAGTCACATACCTATGGTCTGAGACCCAGGACAGCAGTACATTTCTGTGACTTTGACATACCTGTTGACTTGTCCTAATCCTATGCTGACTACAGTAACTACCATCTTGCTGAAATGGGCATCAATGATCATGCACTGTATAGTTAGTCCTTATAGCGGAGTTAAGGTGGACTATACGTATATATATATATATATATATATATATAATTGTTGTTCTAAAGGCATCCGTTGTATTGTTATAATATTTTCCTTGTGAATAATGTAACTGCAAGTTTGTTGCACGTAGCTTGTCCTACACGGTCTGTACCATAGGCCAGGGGAGCACTGCCCTGGCCTGTCACATTTTACACCCTAGGAAATGCTACTGCCAGTCATTATTTACAGATGTGTGGATGGTCTAGTGTTTCTTGATGTTCAGACAAGCCTGATGTCCGGTGCAGCCCTGTGAACAACCTGTCTATAAGAAGATTTATGCTCCAATGCTGTTCTGACGTCCCATTGCCTCATCATCCTCGATGTGGACGAGGACGCCATTTTCTCTTCCACACGACATGTGGAAGAGTTTTTGAGGCCCGTTAGAATCATTTATCATTATGTAGGGGTAAGCCAATGCCAGTCCCACGGGTGAATTTAATTTTTTTCTGTCCTGTCCACCTTTGTTGTCGTGTAGAGACGATCCGAGGTGCGTGGCCGAGCAAAACGTAGACAGTAAGCTTACATGCCTAGATCTCTTATTCCCCACTAGAGCGAGTTGTTGTAGGCCTAATTCCTAATGCTGACTCCAGAGGTCAGGCATCGAGGAAGGCTCAGGTTGTCATGCCCCTCTCTCACTCTTTGACCATCGGCCTTTCAGTTAGCATCTCCCCTCCCGGACTGGTTTCGGCTCACCTCACTCTGCCCACTGTGAACCCGCATCTCTTCAATAAAAACAAAGCTAGCCTACGGCAGTATACTTCATCCTTCCTCCTAGCTACCCGGCAAGTTACCAGACTACCCAAAACCCATTTAAAACATATCTACTAATGTCATAACGGTCAGGCCACCTAATGGTGGCCTGGTGGCCCGGTGGCCCGGTAGCCAAAGCTCTTGCTTCACACGGCGAATGTCTGGGTTCGATTCCCAGCCAGGGTAGAAATATTGGGCTTGTTTCTTTACACCTGTAAAATGGGTACCTGGGTGTTAGTCGACTGGTGTGGGTAGCATCCTGGGACACTAACCTAATTTGCCCGAAATGATCAGCATAACAAGAGGCTTTCTATATAGTAGTATGTCATTGATGTCAGCTAGGACTGTATACCTTGTACATATACTTGTAGTAAATAAATATATTATATTAAACTGCTCAATACAGAACCTTGCTAACACATCCTATGTAATGTAATAGTAACTGTATTCATAGGATAATGGAAAGAAAACAGGAAGAAAATAGTAAACAGCAGATTATGTAAGAATCTGGAATAAGATACACAGAAGAGCAAAGGGATGTGAAAGAAAGGCAGTAAAGAGAGAGTACGTGTGAGAGATGGAATAATTCAGAGGGAAACAGAAGAAGCGAGTGGGTGTGAGGGAGAGAAGTGAGGAGAGGACGACATTATTAAGAGTGCAACTGAGGGAGAGGGAGAATCGAAATGAGGGAGTGGAAATGATAGGGTGGGAGTGAGAGTGACCGAGAGTGCGCCAAACACACACTCATACACTCATATTCATTCACACACTCATGCACTTATTATCACACACACACATAAACAGGAGTTATGGTTCTGCCCCTGCAACCATATATGAGTACACGCACACTAGCGAAAAGACGGGGCCAGGAGCTGTGACTTGACCCCTGCAACCACAAATAGGGTAGCACACACACCACACACACACACACACACACACACACCACACACACACACACACACACACAGGGACTGTTCAAGAGGGAACAGTTGAAAGCTAAAAAACACAAATAAGTGACAGGGATATTAAGGAATATTTCTTAAGCAAGCCTCAAAATATTCAGGAAATGGAAAGACCAAGCCATCGAAATGGCGAAGGCAGGATCCAAGCATAGCTTCAAGAAGAGGTATGATATGGCTCACGCAGCCAAGAGAGGGGAAACCCAGTCAGTCAAGTTAGCCTGAGAGGTGCGGCCAGGAGCTGAGACTTGATCCCTTAAACCACATAGAGCTGAGTACGTACAGGTGAGTACATGCGCACACGCGTGCACGCGCGCACACGCGCACACACACACACACACACACACACACACACACACACACACACACACACACACACACACACACACACACACACACACACACACACATGTCTCCCCTGCGGCAGCAGCTACACCAGCACCAGCAACCGGTCTGTCAGTATGTAAGCTGCGGCCGTGCTGGTGAGACTCCCCTTCGTCGCTCGCTCTAAGGGGCGTCCATCACCTCCCTTTCCCTTTGCTGGCTCCCTCCAGTGTTTGGTTCCTCCTCTGAATGTCTCCCCCGGGGGTGATACCGGAGATATTTTCCTTCGACCATCAATAACATCTCGCTGCTTTGCTAAGTTTAAAACAGAATTTTCCGCGAGGTTAAGTTTTTCATTTTTTGAACGCTCGGTAAAACTTTGAAAACTTTCGATTGTACATACAAAACCAGAGGGTCGATAATTCAGTTCCTTCATAACTAATACGTTTAATATACGAGATACTTCAGTGAGAGAAAAATATTTTGTGATATACCAGGAAATACATATATAAATTTAAAAGTTTATTGCTTGCAACTTTCGGCCCGCTAAGTAAATTTGCATAACATTAGTACTTGCGGACCAATTTTTAATGTAGCAAATTCGTGCAGCTGTTCCCTATCTCCAAGTGATCTTCCAGCATTTGATTAATGATAAGCTGTGAGTAATGAAGAAGACTCTTGAATCTTAAGATGGAGCCAGGTTGGACCAGCTTAGTCTCGCGAGACATGTTTAAAGCCCGAGTTCGGTTGGATGATTTATTGGGTTTATAATCTGTCTACTACATGGTGGTTATTAAGGCTTTATATCGCCTGTATACCATCAGCCAAGAATATTTTCACCCTTAATACTGAGATTTACGCAAGCTCCAAATGTGTATGTACATGCTGAGATATATATACGCCTACAAGTGTATTTAGATTACTTCTTTCAGTGTTTTACACGCCAGAAGAAATATTCTCAGAATATTTACAAAGTGCCGTAGCTCGATTTTTGTGTCGTGTTTTGTAGGAGTGTCTCTGATGACTGAAGAGAAAATGCTACAGTAAAAATGCTACAGTATAAATGCTACAGTAAAAAAGATACAGTAATTCTTGTCATCTTGACCTAGTGAATGCACTTTATTTCGTAATAGAGAATGATTTTTATCATGCTCTTGCTGTCGTAAAACAAAAATATAAAAACTTCCATATCTTGAGTATACTAAATGTTGAAAATTTGCGTACATTCAAATCTTTCGAATCTTAGAAAACACAATAGACAGCCCTCTGATTCTGATACTTAAGTTGTAGAATCATTATGGAAAATTAAATATATCTTAAACCAAAAAAACAAAACAAAAAAACTTCCGTACCTTATGTATACTAGAAGTTGAAAATCTGTATACATTCAAATCCTTTCCGAATCTTAGAAAATACAATAGACGGTTCTTCGATTCTAATGCTTAAGGTATAGAACTATTATGAAAAATTAAAGATCTTTTATACAGAGGCAAAATGATGTCAGTGAAGGTAGTGTTAATATCCTGACCTCGTCAGGCGAGAGTCTATCGAGTGGTGAACCAGTGAGGTATGAAGAGACCAGAGAGAGGTGTGCCAAGCGTTCACCTCGGCTGTGAACGAGGCGTTCACCTGTACGGTTCAGGTGTGAACGCTCCGCAAATCATGCTCTTCCATCGTCCCCTCGTTGTAGTGACCTTTCTTCTCGTTGCCATGGCAACCGTACATTCACAGGAAGACGAAGGTGAGTAAAAAAAAAAAAGACTGTCCATGTTAAGCATTTACCAGCATAGTTGATTATGATACTAAATGAAAAGTCACTTCATTTTTCCCGCAATAGTACATTCAGAACCTAAATTAGAATCGTTTACAAAAAAAAATAGGGTCGAAATGTATAAGAGTTTTATTGGGGAGGAGTCTAAGCGAAATTCTTTTTAGTGAATTTTGGATGTATAGATGTAATACCGAAAGGTTTGTGGGAATAAAAACAATATACAGATCAAACATTTATTGGGGGCAACGTTTCGCTCCACGTGCAAAACGAGCTTTTGTCGGGACGTTTCTCTTTTATGATCTTCATACCGCGTCATCATACCAATACTCAACTGAAACATATATTTAATTCTTGCATATTTAACTGAAAATTTAAGTGGCAATTCATGTGGTAATTTATCTACAAAAATAAGTGATACTTAAAGTGGCGATATAAATGGCATTTTAAGTGGTAAATGAACTGGTGATTTAAGTGGTAAATGAAGTGGTAATTTAACTAGCATAATGAGTGCTAATTTAAGTGATAATAGTAATATAACAAAAGTATATAATTATCTTTAAGGACATTTAGATGAAAATGATTACATTTGTTGTATGATTGGAGAGATTACATTGCAATTGATGCTATGAGATGCAATTATTAGTATAATATGAAGGGATTGCCATGCAATTGTTGGTATGAGGGATTACCATGCAGTTGTTGGTATAATGGGATGGATTACCATGCAATGGTTGGTATAATGGGAGGGATTACCATGCAGTTGTTGGTATGAGGGATTACCATGCAGTTGTTGGTATAATGGGATGGATTACCATGCAATGGTTGGTATAATGGGAGGGATTACCATGCAGTTGTTGGTATGAGGGATTACCATGCAGTTGTTGGTATGAGGGATTACCATGCAATGGTTGGTATAATGGGAGGGATTACCATGCAGTTGTTGGTATGAGGGATTACCATGCAGTTGTTGGTATGAGGGATTACCATGCAGTTGTTGATATGAGGGATTACCATGCAATGGTTGGTATAATGGGAGGGATTACCATGCAATTGTTGGTATGAGAGATTACCATGCAGTTGTTGTATGAGGGATTACCATGCAATGGTTGGTATAATGGGGGATTACCATGCAGTTGTTGGTATGAGGGATTACCATGCAGTTGTTGGTATGAGGGATTACCATGCAGTTGTTGATATGAGGGATTACCATGCAATGGTTGGTATAATGGGAGGGATTACCATGCAATTGTTGGTATAACGGGAGGAATTATCATGGAATTGTTGGTATGAGAGATTACCATGCAGTTGTTGTATGAGGGATTACCATGCAATGGTTGGTATAATGGGGGGATTACCATGCAGTTTTTGGTATGAGGTATTACCATGCAGTTGTTGGTATGAGGGATTACCATGCAGTTTTTGGTATGAGGTATTACCATGCAATTGGTGGAATGATGGGAGAGTTTACTATGTAATTCATTGAATAACGGAAGGGATTATCACGCAGTTGGAATAACTGGAGAAATTACTATGCAAATGCTATAATGGGAGGTAGTTGCATTGCAATTGTGGTGTAATGGGAGGAATTACTCTGTAATTCATGGAATAATGCAAGGGATTACCACGAAGTTTGAATAACGGGAGGTATTACCATGAAATTGTTGGTATAATAATATGGATTACCACGCAATAATTGGAATAATGGGAGGGATACCATGTAGGTATAGATATAATGGGAGAGGTTACCATGCAATTATTGATATCAAGGATGGGACAACCATGCTATTGTTGGTATAACAAGAGGGATTACTATCCGCGTATTTTTAAATTAGAACGAATTGCCATTTTATTTGTTTTAAGTCATGCAGAATATTTTTACTAGTACGTATATATATATATATATATATATATATATATATATATATATATATATATATATATATATATATATATATATATATATATATATATATATATATATATATATATTATTCAAAACGAACCACTCTGAAAGAAGTAAAATTCCAAACGCTTTCGTGACTACTCACATATCAAGGAACTTAATGTATCCTTATTATGTAGTAGTCACGAAACCCTTTGGGAATCACTTCTTTCAGAGTGGTTGTTTTGACATATTGAAATCACTGTTATCACTGATGATCTTATTGTATATATATATATAATAAGTTAAAGATATATATATATATATATATATATAATATATATATATATATATAATATATAATATATATATATAATTCATTTATTCAACCTTTTAAGAGTAACTCTGAAAAAAGTAACATTTGCTTCGTTTTAGCTGGTCCTGGGAACGAATTTAAGTGGTGAATCTCTTACGATATTTGGTTTATGCATTAAATGGATAATCCAAATATATTTATCGATAAATATGTAGTCAATGCAGAAAAACAGCCCTGGAGATGCACTCAGTTTTTATTATTGTGCGTTGTTACTTTACTAACATTGAAGATAGTTCCAATCAAAAGAAAAGACGTAGTATTTAAAATAATAAAAGTTCAAGAAGGATAATGCTATTATCCTCTTATTTAAATATTACTACACACGTAAATAGCTTATAAAATAAGTTTTGGAAATATAAGTTCATTACTCAAATCATGTCCTAGAATTATAGTGCTAGTTTTACTTATCTCTACTAGAATTTTTTTTTTTTGATATCTTGAAAGCATTTATCTATACTAGAGCTGTGTATGTGGAAGTTAAACGACACATCTCAAGACTGATTATTATTATTATTATTATAATCAAGGGGAAGCGCTAAACCCGGAGGATTATACAGCGCCTGGGGGGGGGGGGTTGTGGAAGGCATTCAGGCTTAATTCGGGGAACTGGAGCACAGATCCAATTCCCTAAATCAAGAGCCCCTCACCAACATCAAGGAACCTTCCTTGAGGGGATCTCAAGACTGAGATGCGTCGTTTAACTTCCACAAACACAACTGAGCATCCGATGAACGCAGATTTGAAGCTACTTAAGATTTATTTTAGAAAATTGGACGAAGCCGTTGTAAATATATAACCATAGTAATGTAATGGTATATTTGTAAATCAATGAAGAAAATTTTAAATTTCCATTAAAAACTAAATATTATAAAAATGACGATTTACTGAGATTTTTCTTTAGCTATAACAAACCTTTCATCCATTGCAATATTGTCTGCAGGCTGCATTTTTTTATCAAAAGCCTTATGGCAAGTCCTGTGTCCTCAATTTTGGATTACTGCTATATAGAGCATTTTAAATCGACAAAAAATTCTCCATATTAAACCAAATGGTATTGTGTGTCTTGAGGTGGTATACTGAAATTATTTCTACGATTTCTACGAGACTCATAAATTTGGTTATAATTATCATGTTCAAAGCTAAATATGAGGATAATATAGCATTATCTTTCTTGAACTTATTTATTATTTTAAATACTACGTCTTTTCTTTTGATTGGAACTATCTTCAATGATAGTAAAGTAACAATGCACAATAATAAAAACTGAGTGCATCTCCAGGGTTGTTTTCCTGCACTGACTACATATTTGTCGATAAATATATTTGGATTAGCCGTTTAATGCATAAACCAAATATCTTAAGAGATTGGCCACTTAAATTCGTTCCCAAGACCAGCTAAAACGAAGTAAATGTTACTTTTCTCAGAACTGTTTTTAAAAGGTTGAATAAATGACACTTAGATGCACCAGATACCTGCATTACGTATCCCTCGACTGGATATTTAAGAGGCTGCCTGATTTTTTTCTTTTTTCTTCCACCACTTTTTTTTATTTCATTTCGCTCATAACTCGACAACTTTTTACCCAAACGGCATCATATTTACAACATTTGTGTACGTTAACGAGGACTAAAGTCTACAAGGAATTGGAAAGTTCACGTGCCCTATGACTAAAGTTGTTGATCTCATTCCCAGCATCCTGGAATGACTCTAAGAACGACCAAAACTCTCAGTGGCGTTGCTTCAGTCGCTCAGGAAAGGTGCCATAAATACGACGACTGCGAAGAGGGAAATTTTAATATGTAAGGTCAGATTTTACCATTTTAAATGTAAATATAGCGTGAAATATTTATTTCCATTAAACAACGTTAAATAATTTTTAGTTTACCTCTTCTGAGCGACTTTAATATTTAAAGGCTGATGCGTCTTAGGGCCAGGATAGTAACCATTCAAGTTTCGTTTACGTCCTGGCAAATTAGTTGCTGTAGTAAAATAATAAACAAAATCTTTAAATCCTTGGAATCCGTGACATAACTGGAGAATGACTCATCTGATCGACTTCAAATTTTCACTTATGTGGTTTTCTGAACACAAGGCTCAGGCTGTTGTGTGGCATCAGTCCCAATTTGGAAATTTTTACTGAAAAGTTAGTGATACTTCATTTTTAATTAATGACTAAACAATGCTTCTCCTCATTTGTTTTAAAATATTATTGACGAAGAATACTGTAAGAAGAATGATATATAAGTTTAGCTGGCGTAAATGCAAATTTTAAACTTTACTGAAGTACATAGTTAATAAAACTGGAATCGTTGGAATCAGATCAATGAATTAGATCAATTACTGGGGAATGTCTATTCTGATCAGCTTCAAACTTTTACCATTAGTGGACTTTTTTTCAATTTGCCAGTTTCATTAAGTAAATTGTTTTCCATGTAATAATTAGTGAATGCTTCTTCCAATAAACTTCAAACCTTTAATTCTGGTGTATCTTAACAGGAAGAATTTTTCTATTAATTTTAGGCTGCGTAGGGGCCATTTTGCTATTTTTTACCAATTTTATCAAATTGGATTTTTTCAACAAATCAAAATAAAAAAAATCATTGCAGGATTGTGGAGAATTTTAAAAGGAATCTAAATCAGAAAAGTAAACCGGAAAAAAATAATTCTGCGATTTTATGGATTTTTTTAAGTATAATAAGGGGAGAGTTTCCA